TCTCCCGGTGTCCGCGGGGCCGTGCCGGGTCGCACCGGCCGCTCTCCCTCCTCCCTCCATCGCCCACAGCATTTCCCTGCCGGGATTTGGGCTGGGAGCCGCTGATGAGCCGCTCCTGGGCGTTTAAATCTCTTATAAGGGATTTACGGTGTTGATTCCTTATTATTAATGAAAAAGGCTGTCGAAATCTCGTTTAAATCTCTTAAAAGAGCTTTAAGTGCAGTGGGCCGTTGGCTGGGTCAGTGTGTGGAGAATCCCCGGCCCTGGGGCGATCCCACCCCTCTCTCACCTGAGCTGCTCTGTCCCTTCTGATCGTTGGAATCCAGCCCCTGGTTGCCCCAAATCCCAACGACACTGTCCCCCTGGGATCACTGCAGGGCTGTCTGACCTAACCCTGTTTTCCAGAGGTGGCCTATTCCCAGAGCACTGGGCAGAAGGAGCAGCTGAGCCGCTGCCTGCAGCGAGGTAAGAGCGTTTCTCCCCCACCCCGAGCCTCCCTGGCTGCTGCTCCAGTTTTTTTGGTGTGTTTATAATACTTTAAAAAAATGGTGAGACCCTTTGGAGCTGGTGGCAAAGCCTGGATGAGGCAGCTGGTGCTGCACCCAGCCAGCACTGAGGGATGGGGAGGTGCAGGAACCCGGCTGCTCTGGCACCCGTGCCCGGGCTGGGTGAGCTCTGCTCCGGAATCCTGAGGAGAAGCTGCCCAATCCCACCTCTGAGGGCAGCATCTCCCCACAGGGATCCGGCGGGTCCAAGACCTGTGCAAAGTCCTGCAGCTCCCGGCGGTGTTCGAGGAGACGGCCGTGTCCTACTTCCAGAGGGCCCTCCAGCTCCCTGCCTTCCACCTGGTCAGCCTGGAGAAGAAGGAGCTGCTGGGGGGCTGCTGCGTGTTCGTGACGTGCCGCCAGCACAACTGGCCCCTGACCATGGGCACCATCTGCTCCCTCCTCTACGCCAAGCAGGAGCTGTTTGCCGGTGTCTTCCTGAGCCTGCAGAAGGAGCTGGGGCTCTCTGTGCCCGCCCTGAGCCTGGCAGACCTGGTGAAGACACACCTGAGCAGGTAACGGGGCCCCTTCCAGGGGGCACAGATGGGGTGAGCTGTGTGACAGGGGTGTGGCCTTTTGTGCCTCCCTTGTCACGCCTGGGCTGGGATTTTCTCATCTCCTCAGTTTGGAGAGGTGCTCAGGGAGGTACCATGAGTTCCACAATCATGGAATCATTGAGGTTGGAAAAGACCTCCAGGGCCATTGAGTCCAACCTGTGCCCCATCCCCACCTTGTCTCCCAACCCAGAGCGCTGAGTGCCACGCAAGTCCCAGTCTTCCTTGACGCCTCCCCAGGGCCATGGGGACTCCGGCCACCACCTTCACCTGGGCAGGCCATTCCAATGTTTTAACAACTCTTCCCATGAAGAAATCCCTCCTGGTGTCCACGGGCAGGAGCCCCTGGCAGGGGCAGGGTGTGTTTGTCCCAGAGGGCCTCCCTGTAGCCACATCTCCCGGGTGACCGAGGCTTCCCTGCTCCCGCAGCTTCCGGCTGTTCCAGCCCTCGGCCGAGGTCCCTGCCCCGTTCCTGGAGGACAAGGAGAAGCTGGTGGCCCGGACCATGGGGATTGTGGAGCTGGCCAGCGAGACGTGGCTGGTGACGGGCCGGCACCCCGACTAAGATCCCTCTCGTCCCGTGCCCGGTGGTCCGGCCCGCGGCCGTTCCTCGCGTGGCAAGGTACGCTGCAGCCACCGGCGCCACCGCCTCATCCTGCCCCGCTGGCAAGGTTCTGCAGGGTGCAGGGGTTGGTATCTGCCTCCCCGCCACGCTGAGGCTGAGAGCTGCTGGAAGATCCTGCTGGGCAATGGCCTCGCCCAGCTTCGCCTGGCCGGGCTGGGCGTGCGCCTTCCGCTGGACAAGAAGACCGTGGTGAAGCACTCCGTGGGGGGAACCGTGCTGCAGCATCGGGTGTTCCTGCTGAAAAACGCCTTCTGCCAGGAGGGTGGGGAGGAGCAGCAGCCTGGTGCGGCCTCAGGCCAGGGCTCCACAGGCCAGGGCTCACCAGGTGAGGGCACCCCAAGCCAGCACTCCCTGGATAAGGACACTCCAGGCCAGGACTCCCTGGAAAAGGGCTCCCCAGGCCAGGACTCCCTGGGTAAGGGCTCCTCAGGCCAGGACTCCCTGGAAAAGGGCACCCCAGGCCAGGACTCCACAGGCCAGGACTCGCTGGGCCAGGGCTCTCCCAACTCTCCTCTGGTGGCACAGGAGAAGGGCTGTCCCTTGGCAGGGAAATGCCTGAGGCCTCTGCTCCCACCCTGCCTCATCCATCCCAGGAAGAGGCTGCGTTCGGCAGCCCCGAGCGCTCCCGACCCGGCCGTCACCGGCGACGAGCCCATCTCCGACAGCGAGATCGAGCAGTACCTGCGGAGCCCCGAGGAGATCCGGGCCTTCAGGAAGGCCAAGGCCTGGTCCTGAAGGCAGTTGTGGCCTAGAGGATGGTCCAGAGACAGTTTTGGGACCAAAAGTGTGAAACCCGCCAGGGACAGAGCGTTTGTGCTGCGGGACAGTGGCCTGGGAAATGGGGTTGTGGGGCCTTTGTGTTCTGGACCAAAATGGGGCTTTTTGTAGAGTGACTGCTTTGGGTCGTGTTAACATTTCTGATAGAAATAAATGGAAGTGCAGGTGCCAGGTGTTCCAGGGCAGCCTCACCTTCCACTTCTAATCCTTCAGCAGAATGAGGGTCAAAAAAGACTCCAGGGCTGGGCTGTACTGAACATGAAGTCTGAGAGAAATAACAGTGAGTCTTGGCAGATTGGCAAGTCTTTAATATATTAAACAAAACATATCTGCTAGAAACATTCTATTCATATAAAAATGCAAAAAGACCCCTTTAAAGACATTTCTTTGGCATATTTCCCTTCCCTCCCCCCCCTGGATATTGCAGGAAGCTCTGTTGATATGTCGTTCGCTTGTAAACAGACAAAACAAAGTGTAATTAAGAATACAAAGCTTTTTCTCTAATACTGTCACAGTGCAGCAAAGCGATAGAACCACGGGGCACCAGCCAGGCTGGGGGGGCTGCAGGAGCCACAGCAAGGGTTTAAATTGTGTTAAATACCAGGGACAATGAAATATTTAAGCATCTAAGCCAGGCAGAGAAGCCAAGGTAGGTGGGGAAGCGGCAGGTTAAGCCCAGGGGTGCCCCAGCCCTGCGGGTTGAGGGGTTCTGAGGTGAGACCAAGCCCCACTAAGTGCTTTTTCCTCCCCTGGCTCGTGGCCCCCGCTGGTCCCACGACCCCTTGGAGGTAGCTGTGTAATTAAACTCATTTGCACGCAGGGGAAGCTGAGGCAGGGGAGGCTGGAAAGGGCAGAGGTGGCACCAGACTCCCGTCCTGCATTGCTGCAGCCCTCCCCTCAGCCTGGCTGTTTTACCTGCCTGCTGGGAAAAAGGGGGGGACTTGTTTTTTCAGTGGAAACAGTAAGTGCTTATCCAGGTTCCCACCGCATCGTGGGAACTGTCTGAGGAAGGTCCCTAATTCCTTGGCATTGTTATCCTGCATTCCCAGGAATGATCCCTGCTCCCCAGGAAGGTTTCTCTGCCTTCCTAAGAGCAAACGTGAGTATTTTCTGGATTAAGGACACGGACCTGCTCTGGGTTTGTCACATATCTTGGTTCTTTGGTGCTTTGGCGCAGAGGGTCAGTCCCAGCTCCACCAGCCCACCCCATTGCATGGCTTGTGCCTCTGAGGGCCTGGGAGCCCTTCCTGGCCGTGACTTTAGTGTCTGGCATTAAAGCAGTGCAGACAATCGAGGTGATCCTCACCTTGGAGCTGAGGCTCCTCTTACCTTGTGCTTGGCTTTGCAGTATGGCTTTGGCACCGCGCAACCGCCAGGGCTGAACGCCGGATAAAACCACTCCAGAGGGAGCAGCTGCTCTCCAGCAGCCGCCTGCTCAGGCTGGGGCTGCGGTGTCTGGACGTGAAGGGCACTTGGGGTGGTCCCTCAGCGGGAATATTGCAGTCGTGGCACGAGCGGGCCCTGGCCCAGTGCCCACCCCCTCCCAGGGAACGTGGGTGGGGAGCGAGGCCCTCGCGCCACTTACGGCTCTGTCTATACATATATATACATTCAATAATATAGCTTTGAAAAATAGACATTTCCTCTGTATAATATAAAATAGCATTTAGGATCAGTCTCAAGCGACACGCCGGAGTGATTAAAGCACAGTCGCAATTCCTGCAAGGATTGCCTGGAGCCCCCACCCGGCACCACCAYGGGAAGCTCGGAGCCTCCTCGGGGTGGG